CGTGGTTTTCTCTTTGGTCATCTCCGAGCAAGCGAGGAACAAATTTTGCAGACACCCGTCTCATGTGCAAACCTTCGGTTAAAATTCGCTGGACCGTGCTCCATGAGATGTTCGTTTCCTCAGAAAGTTGGTCAATGGTCTTTCGACGATCTTCATCAATTGCACGTTTGATTTTGGCAATGTTTTCGTCATTTCTTCCTGTCGAAGGACGCCCGGGGCGTGGCATGTCTTCTGTTGACATGTTGCCAGATTTGAAATGGGAAAACCACTCGTAGACCTGTGATTTCCCCAAAGCATCATCATTAAAGGCTTGCCGAAGCATCCCAACAGTCTCGGCTGCAGTTTTCCTTAACAGAAAGCAAAATTTCACGCACTCTTTGTTCCTTCTGGTCAGCCATCTCACTAATCGCCAAAGGGTTGAAACAGGAACGCACACAACTGAGCACCACAGACAAACCACTTACCTCAGACTGACGCCAGCTCACTAACAGTCGCGGGAGACCCCCAGCTAACACCACCTAGCAGCACAACTCATACCTACAAAGCGTGCGCGCGCAACAGGTCGTTCCGGTTATTTTTGGGTCCCCCCTCCTATTTAGTCAGGACTCATATTGATATATTTTAAATTAACATTCCCACTTCTCACCATCCATGTCCAACTTCATTGATGTATTAAAATTCACATTTCTAAAGCATTCATCTCTTCCAATTATTCAAACACTATACGTATGCTTCAGTCCAACTGGCCATCATCAGATGTACAAGTTGCAGAGGAAACTGATGCCCTGTTGTCATGTTGCTACACTTTGCATTTTAAAGAAGCAAAATACTTGTAAAATATTGTTTTTAAAATAACACAGCATGATTATTTTGTTGTATGCATGTGTTGTGGGTCTGGTGTATCTGTAATATATAATAATGGGTTATATTAGTGTTTTGTTTATGAAGTAAATATTTTATGTTATACATATTGTACGTTGTTGTTCTATCACTGTAGTTGTAATGTTACTTACGTTCTGTTGCTACGTCGGCATTTCTTTGGTGCTGTGTGTAGCTGTTCTGAATGTTCCATGTAGTTTGTTTTGTTTTTATATAGGAAGTAGGGCATGTGTGCTGCTAACTTGTGTTCATTTCCTGCAGTATTCTGAATACTGGGTTATGTGTATCATTGTTTGTGTCATTCATGTGTAAGCTATTTTTACTGATTTAACATATGTAATATTTTTTAATTTGTTTATGTGTTTTGCAGTTTTCTGAGTTCTTAAATGTCCACTTTATCTATTATGGTCCTGTACGTATGTCCCATGTTTAATATGTGACTCAAATATCCCGAATTACTATTATTATTTCTAACTGCTTGTACATGTTCTCTGAATCTAGTGTAGGACGGCCTGCCTGTTTGCCCTATGTATTTCAGTGGGGAGTCTAGGTATTTAATTTGGCAGATGCCACTTTTGTTGCATTTGTCTGCTTGTGGGTGAAGTTTTATTATGTTCTGTATTGTGTTCTTTATTTTGAATGCAATTTTTTAGTATCCTTCAACAGTTCTCTGTTTTTTCTTGTTTCTTTTCTGCTGTATCTGCTGTACATAAGAGTGGCCCATTTTGTATTTTGGTGTTGCAAATCCATGTCTGTATCTTGTTTTTGTAGACCAGGTTATTTTATGACTCTGTTTACATTACAGTTATTGTTATGTAGTATGTTTCTCATAGTATTAAGTTCCCTTTCTTTGCTTCTTTAGATACAGGGTAGGTGTTTAATCTGTTCACTAAGCAGTTGATACTTGATATTTTGTCTGTGTGGACAGCTGGAGTCATTAGATACTGTATCTGTTTGAGTGGGTTTTCTATGTTATGTGAATTCAATGTGAATTTTCCTTGTGGTGTACTGAAAAAGCAAGAAAGTTAATGCAGTTGTCTAATTCCTTTTCTATAGTAAATTTTATAACAGGTTGTTTGTCAAACTCAAGTCAATTGTTCCTCTACATTTCTTTTCCTTTGGTCATAGATTAAAATGATGTCACCTGCATATCTAAAGTATCTGATTAATTGAAGTTTTATTAACCTTTAAGAGTTGAGAGACACCATATGGGGACCTTTACAGTAAAGCCGAGTGGCCAAACAACACTGTATGGTGACTCACAGTCCACGTGTGCGCATAGTGTTTTAAAATCTAATTTTAAGATAGAAATTCTTGTTCTACTTACATTATTTTGGACACCAGCTTTATAAGTAGACTGTCTTCCCTCCTGCATCATCTAACTGAACGTTGCATGTAACTCAATGCAGAGTCTGACATCGCAATTCATGCACTTTGTCCGTATGTAACTCTGTTTTCCATGCGAAGCGCACACACGCAACATCAGTCTCGTATTAGCAGGAAGTAGGCCAGTGACGGCGAGTAGTCTCCTCTATTCGTAATGCTTATCATCATCATCATCAGTAATCTGTCAGATGACAGGTCCACAGTCTCTTCCAAAACAATTCCTTATAAAACATCGCAATTTCAACTATGCACCACGGCCCCATTTCGCTGGAAGAAGCCGAAATTGAGAGGCCGCTCATAAATCACACCATTCAGAATGCGGTACAGTCGATTCTGAAGGGAGGAGGACGCAAGGGGCATTGAGGGGATATTCCAAGAACAGTACCTCTGTGTGTTTAGTCTGACATATAAACAGACAGAGTTTCATAAGGACAAAGTAGGATAAGAACTCGCCCACACTCGTGTATACAGTAAGCTGACATGATTGGAGAATGTGCAATGAAAACATAAACTTCCTCTCCTCTTGCCAGATAAAATATAGACTGTGTGTCAGCAGCATGCATTTATACTGCAGAAACGTTTTGTGCAGAAGCTTTATGCATTTTTGTGGACAGACGCTCAAAATTGGGGAAAAATTCTTTTTGGAATCAATGTAACAATTTTTACAGATTCTAAAATCTGTAAATTATAACATCTGATTCTATATTCTTTCTAGATAAAAGTAGCGTTTATTTCGTTTATCACAAAAATTGTAGAAATCGCAGCATTTTGAGTTACATGGTTACAATTTTTATTACTCTACAATGGCGTGCATTTAAATTAACTCTGGCCCGCAGCCGTTACCGGAATTTAAGGCCCGGTTGATAAAGGTTAATATTAGGTATATTTGTTTCTCATGTTCTGACTACATGCTTCAGATAATATTGCTGGTGTTGGATCACCCTTGGCTAGTCCATCTGTTTGTCTGTAATATTTCTGTTTGAACTGAAATTAGTTTAGTTCCATTATTGTTTTTAGTATGTGTACAATTTCGTTTCGGATGTTTTCGTTTATTTCTAAGTGATTTTTAGTATACTGATAATTATGTTCATAGTGTCTATTTTTGGTTATGTTAGAGTACATGCTTTCTACATCAAAAGAACATATTATAGTGTTTTTGTTAAATTCTATGGTTTGTAGGTCACTCCATAAATAAAACACTAACACAGCCCATTTTTACATATTACAGATTCACCAGACTTAAAACACGTGCATACAACAAAAATCACTGTATGATATTTTAAAAATAGTTTTTAAAATATTTAGTAAGTATTTTACACCTTTAAAATACAAAGTGTAGCAGCATGACAAGTGAGCAGCAGTTTCCTCTGCAAATTGTACATCTGATGATGGCCAGTCGAGCTGAAGCACACACTGTTTGAATAATAGGAAGTGACATATGCTTCTGAAGTGTGAATTTTAATACAGTAACGAAGTTGAACAGGGACAGTGAGAAGTGTGAGAGCTAATTTAGTATACAGAGTACAACAGGATACTGCAATATAATATTATTGACATATTTGATCATACTGACCCTGATGCAAAAATAATTGGGCCTAATTTGAGTGACAGTTGTAGCAATTCTGATGAAAGTCAGGCAAGTGGAAATGCAGGTGGTGACAACAGTGGTAATGATGGTGGTAGTGGTGGGTTCAACAACGAAGGCAATGATTAATGAAGAATGGGCTCTCTGGGACAAAAATAGCCATCATTTCTACATGACACCATTTCATGCTTCATCTGATTCTAAGCCACCTTGAAACTGGCAAATGCCTGTTTCTACACATGAATTGTTATGCTACTTTTAGTGCAACTTTATTTAACGAAGAGCTGCAGAAATTAACAGATATGTATGTAAAAATGCCTGAATATCATGAACCAGCAGCCAGCAAAATTTCAAACTTTGTCTCACCTGGAGTACCACAAAAAAGTGATTCAAGGATTGGTAGGAAACGTTCAAAACAAAATGACCTGAAAGAGAGGAAGACCAAGTTTAACAGATGTAGACGACCATCTGAATGACAAACTGCACTTGCACCTGCATACGATAGGAAGTTAAAAAAGAACTGTGCAGTTTGCAACAGCAGAGAAGCGAAAGGAGTCAGAAGGAAAACATTTTCTTGTGACATGTGTCCAAGGAAACCAAGACTCCATCCCAGCTTGCCCTATACCATACAGTGAAGAAGTAGTGTCTGGTATGTATCTAACAGAAATATTTTATATCCGAAGAAGTTATAGAAAAAACATCCCATCTTTCCAGTATAAAATTCTATTCTTTTATTGTTTTTTACACATACAGCAACCCGTTATTGACACATGCATGTTCAATTGTCCTCTTATTTGCATTCTGTATGTGTAGTGACTTCATTTACTCTTCTCTTTGTGTTTCATTTTACAGTGCTGACCTCAGTCTTCAAATTATGAATTTCAAAAACTGGAAAGGAAACACAGGACCCAGACTATCAAATGCTTTACCTCATATGTCTGCACTAACATGAGATGTTTCAGTATCCCGGAAGTCAGAATCAAAGAACTGGGTTTCACTTTATTCTCTGAAAAATGACAGTAAACAGAATGACACTATTCGCCACGTATTTCGCTAGTGACAGCAGTACAGTCAGAAAGATATATTTCAGAGTCAGTATTCAAACAGTGGAAATTTCAAACCTTGCAGACCATATTTTCATTGTATTTAGTAACATTTCTTCAGTTCTATGGAAGTTATAAAAAACTAAGCAGTTTATAATAGTAGATGCAAATAAACAGTTCAGTAGTATTTAAATAAGACAGGCAGAAAACCGTAATGGTATTTAAATTGGACCATAAAGGGTTAAATGTTTACAGTTACTACATCTGTGTGAATGCAGTAAGAGTGACTCTAGTGTACAGTACAGAGAGTTTCCAAGTGCTCTTTGAGCTTCAGCATCCCTTTCAGTCCTGTGTTCACTTAATGGAGATACCAATCTATTGTTGATAATAATAAAAAACTGCTATATATAACAATGCATAGGGGCCAGGCAAAACATGTGGACAAATGACATTGCCTCCCCATCACATGATCAGTTCATGCAATGAGTGCAAGAAACATATAAGAACACTTATGCTTCAGAAGGGTGTATATCTTTTCGAAATTTATCATTGTATAAAATTTTTGAACTGTGCTTTGAAAGATAATGAATCTATTTAATCTTTTAGAGATGTAATCATCATTTACATAAAACATAATATTGAATTAAGCTGAATTATGCAGGATTTCAGGTTCTCACAGCAGTGATTAAGAAGAGTTCCATCTTCTGGTATGTAACTCTTCTTAAGTTGAATTAATAATAATTCATAAATTATTAACTCTATGAGTCACAAATGCTCTAATCCTCTCTCTGTCAGTGGATTGACTTGAGCCCGTAAGGCTCAGGCAGCATAATGTAATCACTGATAAATTCTAGAAAGGTGGAGCACAACACTTATGTTTCAAATGCTGTCTTTGCAAATTTGGATCCATCTATGGCAGTGACAGAAACCCATTAGCATGCATGCCACAAGTGGTAAGCTGCTGGGCATGCAAAACTGTATTTCAAAGAAATATTTTGATAAACAATACTAATTACTAACAAAATATTATTTTTTCCTCTTACATTTGAGCATGCAGCCTTGAAAACGTTTGCCATCCCTGACCTATGGTATTCATGTGCATTTTTGGACACATAAATCATTACTGTTTCTTTTATCTTAAATCTATAATGTGGTATATTCTTGTGTCAGAAATTCACAACACAGAACAGACAAAACTATTATTTTTTCTTGTAATTAAATTAAAAGGTTTAAAATCAATGGCATAAATCTTAATGATGTCTATACTGCACAGCATGTACCGCTTCCTTCTATTATCAGTGATTCTGGCAAAAAGTGATGAAGTTTGAACTGAGCTTCAAGTAAAACAGGAATTATAGTACTCTGATATACACTTTGTACCACTGTGTTCAGTTGCATCCCAATTCAATGCATAAAAGAACTCATGTTCATTTTCTGTCTTGCAGGATGGTGATTTTCTTTCTGCCACCCTTCAACTTCCATTCCTCTCAAGCTTTGGAAATCATGCACAAGCAATGATAGTCCAAATGGGGCAGTATGACATTGTCTGCTGGGCCAAATTCACTCATGGCAGCCTATAGTGAAAACAAGTTTGCTTTATGAGCCTTGCCTATTACATCACAGCCTTACAAAATCCAGTTAATGAACAATAAAAGAAAACTGAAAAAAGAAAACTGTTACGATAACTGTAATGAAGAAAATCCTCTCAATAAAAATATACTGTACAGTGTGTGTATATATATATAGCTCTACGTATCTGCAGTGATTTGTCTTTTGGTCGATGATGTGGAATCGTTCAAGGAAAGCAGCATCCACTTAATCCTCAAGTACAACCATTATGGCAAAATTCATCCTTTGTGTTAACAAAGTCATGATTGTGATGTTCCTCGACTAACCTAATTATTCTAAAGTGATTTCAATATTTCTACTCAATTTTTCATAAAGAAAAGCAAATGGCCACATTATAATTGTCATGCATAAATGTGAAATCTGTCATATTGAACAATGCAGTCTTCTCCAGGCCATTTCCAGATTTTCACACAAAGAAATTATACAGAATACAAAGACTACAGCACTAGAATGTGAGGAAACTATTTACTATGGAACTCTAGCTTGTATTGTAAATAAGACTGAAACTTCCACTTTACAATCTTCCTTTGGTATTTACATAGGTTGCAAATTGCAGAAGACAAGTTAGAACACAAAAGTGTGCAGTAATGCAATTATACATCATTTCTTAAAATAAAGAAAAATTACACAATAGAAAGACAAAAAGAATTTGACTTCAGAAGCAGGCAATCAAATACCTCATCGTGGGAGATCTTGAAGCAACATAATATGTCCTCATTCACATAATGTCTCAAACTATCACTTACAAGTTCAAATATAGAAGGAGCAAAAATATCACAAAATTTGCCACCATGAGTGACAAATGAACTAGAACATAAGTGACCATGTTATTTTAAAAGTCCAACAGGAAATCAAGTAACCTCTGTAAAGATATCTTAAAAAAACATTTTCCCCAACATTCATGCACTCTTTTGGGGTAAAAATTCTCTTCGTAGGATGATTCAAAAATATTTTACTCCATGGCCTATGTAAGGTACTGTAAATATTTACCACAATACAAAATTTGTAATGACAAAAAAAGGTACCACATTTCACTTATCTCCTGGACTCTTCCTCTGGCACATCCATTGCACTTCTGTCCTGTTCCTGCTGTGAGCGCGTCAGCTCCTGATTCTGAGATTGAGTCAGTGACTGATGACCATGCTGATGATGGTGGTGGTGGTGTTGGCTACGTACTAATGAAGAATCCTTCTGCAATGGCCGTACTTTCACTCGATAGAATTTGGTTCCCTTTGGCACTCGGTAGCGGTTCTCTGGCTGGAAAGTGTCAATAAAACATGTTAGATTCTTGAGATATGATCAGTGTTTTTTCTTTTCATAGATTAATGCTGAAACCTCAGAAACTGGATGCCCATCAACACAGAATGGAAAACTGTATTTACGACATGCTCAATCAATTTCCACAATCATGACTTTAGTTATCACAATACCTAAATAACCAACTGCTGAATGGAATTGCTTAGAATGTAGTTAGTTTCAAGCTGAAATGGGAAAAACACATTTATTACACATGCTCAGAATTCACTGATGGATGGATCATAGGCTATTTAACAATACTGTGACAACTGCAACACACTCAAAAGCTGTTATCCTCATCATAAATGTATACACAATTACCCTTTTTTTCCTCTCTCTTCAAAATACTGTGAGAATCTGCAAGCAGATCACTATTCCCATCTTTCACAACATCTCTATGCTGGTAGTCCTTAAGTTCACTTATACCTCAACCCAAGTCCTGGCATTTTTGCTCTTGCAGCTTGCTTTCAAATATTCCTGTCCCTCCTTTTTAATCAGCCGATCCTCACACATATTTAATTAAAAAATAAATAAATAAATATATATATATATATATTGTAACATGTTTTCTTTGCTGAAGACACCGTTCGGATTGTTAATTGGTCTATTCAACAACCTACAAGTAACGGCTACAATTAATTATCACACAGTTGCGGGGTTTCCCACTTTATAACCCTAATCGCAATAATCTGTTTACACTGTTGCGGGGTTTCACACTTTATAACCCTATTCGCAAATCAATTCACTCTGTCTTCAGTAGTCCACACGTTTACAGTAGGGGAGCTATGTAAGTGTCCCTGTATCACACACTCCCAATTACACAACTACACACATGTCCGGTTCTTCTTCTTCTGGACGTTGCTATACTCCAACTGTAGGCTGCTGACTGGAGAACTGTCTTCGGCGCTGATACACTTTTACTCTCTCCAGGGATGGCTACAAGTTAACTCGACTACAACTGAACTTGCTGACGGCCACATTACAACTCTCTCACGCTTAGTGCTCAGCCGGCTTTTATTCCGTTCACTGTTGCCTGTTGCCCGCGTCACAGTATCTGTGTATAGCCTAGCAACGCTGTTACCTCACGCCGTCTTACATCACCACGCATTGCGCGTTACAGCACTGTGCGGAGGGGGGATGACGGAGCGCTGACTCACCCACCGCATCACTGCAGGTGGGGGGGGGTGGGTTCTACGTTGCGCAACATGTCACACTGCTCCCTCCTTAAGGCTGTTCGTCCCGAATAGCCTAACGGTGCATCCTCGTTCCTTTGCTTCGGAGGCTGTTCTTGCATCATCTGTTCTCCGGCCGTTACAACCGCTCCCTTCTTAAGACCAACCCGTCTCGAGCGGTTTCCTTTCAGCTCACCAGAAGATCCAGTTCTATCGCATTCATTCTTCCCTTTCATTCTTGCTAAGGAGGCCGGTGTATCTACTACTGGTTCCTCCTATACAGGCCTTTTTCTTTTTTCCATTTTGGAGGGGGTTACCCCTCCATTAGTTCCACTTCTTTATTTTCCGTAACCCGTTGGAAGTACCGACTACTTGTGTCGCGAACGTTCCACTGAAGAGCACGTTACCGGTCTTCTCCCTCAGGCGTAGTAGTTCCTCCACGTCCTGGTTCCTTATGCCTTTGCTACATTTCTGTTGTGGCTGACACCGCCTCCCGGACGTCTGTCCTGTCACGGTTCCCGTCCTTCCTTTCCCGGCTTCTTGCCCAGCATTGACCCCCGTTGAACATCTCCTTACGGGATCTCCCTTGCGCCATCTTGCACCTGCACGACTAGTCAAATTGCTGTCGGCAGCCAATTCGTGCCATGGGCCACAATTTCCTTGGGTCGTAGATTTCTTGAAGATGTTGCGTTTGCGCCATGCCACTGTTGCACGGTGGGACACCTTCCTGTGGACGATGGCCAACTTCATCTGGGGTCCACGACTTACACGCGTCGGATTCTTCATGTTTCGCTGATGTCGGTCCCTGCGCCTTTTCTTCTTCGGTTCTCCGACCGGCATTACTTCGGCGTCTTGTGCGGGTACCTCTTGTAGTTCTGCCGCCTCAGGTTTCATGTCCACTGAGGCCAGCTTTCCATCTTCTGGACGTGCCTCCATTTCTTGGCAGGCCATTGTCTCCCCGACCGTTATTATTTCGGGGACCTCTTCTTGTTGTGCCACAGCAGGTTTCATTTCCACTGGGCAGGACATCATCTTTTCTTGGTAGGATTTCATTTTGGCGTCCATTCGTGCCAGTATTTCTTCCTTGGCGGTTTTTCTATCGGCCGACGCCTTTTCTTGGTAGGCATCCAGTTTGGCATCTAATTTCGCTAGCATGGCGATTATTTGCTGCATATCTTGTTTCTCCATTTTGTAGCAGTACAATTTTTGAGGCGTGTTCAAGTTCGTATCCCACTTCTGACACCAAATTGTCACGTGTCTTGAGTTTGAATCTTGTTTGTCACGCGTGTAAGTCCAAATCCCACTTCTGACACCAGTTGTACCATGTTTTCTTTGCTGAAGACGCCGTTCAGATTGTTAATTGGTTTATTCAACAACCTACAAGTAACGGCTACAATTAATTATCACACAGTTGCGGGGTTTCCCACTTTATAATCCTAATCGCAATAATCTGTTTACACTGTTGCGGGGTTTCGCGATTTATAACCCTATGCACAAATCAATTCACTCTGTCTTCAGTAGTCTACACGTTTACAGTACGGGAGCTATGTAAGTGTTCCTGTATCACACACTCACAACTACACACACGTCCGGTTCTTCTTCTTCTGGACGTTGCTATACTCCAACTGTAGGCTGCTGACTGGAGAACTGTCTTCAGCGCTGATACACTTTTACTCTCTCCAGGGATGGCTACAAGTTAACTCGACTACAACTGAACTTGCTGACGGCCACATTACAACTCTCTCACGCTTAGTGCTCAGCCGGCTTTTATTCCGTTCGCTGTTGCCTGTTGCCCGCGTCAACAGTGTCGTTGCGTGCCACGTCACAGTATCTGCGTATAGCCTAGCAACACTGTTACCTCATGCCATCTTACGTCACCGCGCGTTGCGCATTACGTCACCGTGCGGAGGGGGGATGACGGAGCGCTGGCTCACCCGCCGCGTCACTGCTGGTGGGGGGGGGGGTTTCTCCGTTGCGGACCATGTTACAATATATATATATATATATATATATATATATGAAACCCTAAAAAAGAGCAAATTCTTAAAGCTTCATCATGGCAAAAAACTGAATATCACACATTACCTATAAATGAGTCTGTCCCATTAAAATCTGTATGATTATCTCTTGGTATCTATGATACACACAATTTATATGCTGGAGTGAGACTATTTTACAGCCTCCCTCAAACCATGAAACTGCTCCAGTGGAACAGCTGGACAAGCTGGGTAAGAGAAATTTACATTGGCAATGAAACCAACAAACCTGCAGTCTGAACACATTACAAATAAAATTCACCCATATTATAGCAGGAAATACTGTTATTTATGCACAGATCTCTGGCACCTCTGTAAAAGGTTTATATTCACATAAAGATCTTCTTGGAAAGTGCAATAAACTTGAAACCCTGGTTTCCTGAGCAAGATGAATGTTCAAGCACAGCACCAATTTCAACCAATTTCCCTTTAATACACATTCAGACTTTCATTTCTAATTTCTCTTTCTGTCCTGTAACAATGTCTTGAGCCTTCTTCACCTTCCATTTCTTGCAAAACTACTTTTCACATAAGTACATTTCTTGTTCCAGTATATATCTCACATGTGTAATTTCAATATAGAAAATGGCATAACAGTGGATGACTGTTTATCACATCAAGAATATGGATTAGCCAGCACTGACACATAAGTTCACTTTGCAGTACCTGTTCAACAATATGACTATGGTGAAACTAAAGAGAATTTTGTGCCAGACTTGAAAAGAAGCTCGACAATAACAGAATGGATTTCCAGCATATGCTATAATTTGGGTAAGTTAATATGCAGTTTTAAGCTGTATCTTTGTCAGTTATGCTATCAATCCAAACTTTTGTGGCCCAAGCTGATGAGAGGAGAACATGGCTTTTCAGACTGACTGGTGCAACAGTCTGCAGAGGCCCTAAAAAACCTCACTACATAACAATATGTATACATATATATCAAACATCATGGAAAATATAGTAAAGTCATAATCAGTGACAAGCACTGTCCCAGAATACATTATTTTCCTATAAACATTTGTATCCTATCAGGAAACATGACCACCTCTGTGGTCTAGTGGTCAGAGTCTAGTGGCTACAGATCCAGAGATCTTGGGTTCAATTCCCAGCGCTACCAGATTTTCTGAGAAGTAGTGGGTCTGGAATGGAGTCCGTGGGAATCCATTGCACTGACCAGCGGCACCCTCTATCTGCTAAAGTTGGTACTAACTTTGCTGACAAGTGAGGGTTGCTCAGTCGGTATAGTTCACTTGCGGACTATGGGCCTTGTAGTTTCTTCGTTTGTTTCAGGACATGGTAAAAAGTAACCAAGTGTCTTGAAAGCTACACATCATAAGACTTACTTTCCTGGCATGGCAATATTCCTTCTCAGTAACTTCACCTGTGCTGTAGAGTCGTCTAAGTGAACCATCTGCTGAAAAAAAAGTGTGCACAAGTAAGTTCATAGTGACCATAAACCATGAAAAATTCTGTAGTTTTTTGGTGTCTGGTGGAAGTAATAAATCCTGAATGTGTGGTGGAATGTAAGTTCTGTCATAACTGCAATCTGATACACTTTGTTGTAAATGCATATTACTAAGAAGTGGAATTCTCAGGTATTGTTGCTGGAACTACACGTGTGGTTATGGCTGCTGCGACAAGTCCGTACTATAACTGATTGGAGTGCTAGGAGATGGGAGGGAGACACACTTAGACAAGTGTCACCTCTCTTTCTCAGAACATGGGTTTGTGTTCCTACCTCAAAACATTATTTCTTCAGTCAGAGTACCTCTTCTGACACAAACTTCCATACACTGTATACTATTTCACATCCATGACTAGTGACAACTTATGGTTTCCTGTCTTAGACAATACCACAGTTCCAAATTAATACCCTATTAAGAACAATATTTTTGTTTGGATAACAGGCAACACAGAACAATCTTAACTAACTGCTTGTAGCCAATTAATCCATGATTTATTTAATCCGTCTTGCAGTGCATACACTCATTTATCTCCTTCTCTCCCTCGCACTACATGTTTCGGCATAATAATGCCATCTTCAGGTGCTTACTTATCCACGTCAAACCAGTTCATTGCATGCCATGTTCACACATTAAAATAACTAAAATATGTATCTATCATATCCTGGGAAGCCCAACCCAGGAAGCCCAACAGTATAACACACGCAGTCGCAGGAGCACGACACAACAAAAGCACAACACACAAGATAGTGAAGGAGTGCTCCAACAAAGGAGAATGGGCGTGACTGACGTAGTGAGGGGCGACGTAGCGATGTGGTATCCTGAACAATTTTAATATTTTTAACGTTTGACAATGTATATGATAGATACATATTTTAGTTATTTTAATGTGTGAACATGGCATGCAATGAACTGGTTTGACGTGGATAAGTAAGCACCTGAAGATGGCATTATTATGCCGAAACATGTAGTGCGAGGGAGAGAAGGAGATAAATGAGTGTATGCACTGCAAGACGGATTAAATAAATCATGGACTTAAATCAGTGCAACAGGACGCTAAAATACAACATTGCCAATTAATCCAGCACCTCTCTGGTATAGGCTGTGCAGGAGTCTAAGTAGACAGATTCAAATCCACCTTTTGCACATGTGCCATAAGGTTTAAATTTGGCTATAGTCATATGGTCATTTCTGAAACAAGAACACAAAACAAGATGGGAAAGATTAAGGGAGAGATAAAAGGTAAAAATGTCTGTCTCTCAAAGTGAAGATCAACTAAATACGAATATTGGGTTCATACCCAGGATGTTTGAACACGGCAAAAAAATTTCATGGTACACCATGAACAAAAGGATGGGTAGTATACTAAGTTGGTCTAAAGTGCGTGGCTCCCAGGCAGGGAAATAAATTGTCATTCAATCCATAATAAGAAAACGTTAATATGTAAGTGTTAATATATTTCATGTCACCTCCATATTTCTGGTGTTCGTGAAACCATCAATGCCCAAATAGAACGTTTCCTGGATAAGAAGTTGTAAAGGGGACCTGTGGAGAAGAACTTCTTTAGCAAAAAAAAACTTCCTGTAAGGGAAATGTAAAATAAGGATAATTTTTGGATCAATTTTTTGTATTTTCATCCCAAGCAACTGTTTCATAATATTTCCATTATAAAAACTATGACAACTTGTAAATACAGCGGCAACACTAGAGCTATTTTTTACTTTAGTGCTAAAGAAAAATTAATAAAACTAAGTCATACTAATGGTCCAGCTAATAATTGCATGCCTTATTCAGATTTGCTTCCAGTTTCTGTATCGGAAAGTTCTCAGCCTGTCACTGTTGTAACTGCCTTGGTGAAAGAAGACGAGAGGGGAGGCCAAGGTCACACTTCCACAACCCCATTGCATCAGTCTGCCATGTAACACTGTGGTGTGAACATGCACTGCTTTTACATGAGCGCTTTTTTGACTTCGTGCCGTTTTGTCTGTAATGGATGGCAAAATCGAGCAACGTGTCTGCATCAAGCTTTGCATGAAGCTCAGTAAATCCGCTACTGAAACCGTTGAAATGTTTTGTGAGGCTTTTGGAGAACATTCTTTAACCCAGACAGCGGTTCTTGAATGGCATTCACATTTCAAGGCTCGTTGAGTGTCAGTTGAAGATGAAGAATGTTCAGGGTGACCAAGCACCAGCAAAACAACAGAAAATGTTGAAAAAATTTGAGAACTCATCCACAGAGACCGTCACCAAACAATCAATAAGCTTGCAGACACCACTGGAATCAGTTATGGAGTTTGCCAGGAGATCTTAACGGAAAATTTGAACATGCACCATATTTTCTTTTTTATTTCATGCATCCTGTTGTGTTATAATATACAACTTCTTTATTAAAACCGTCATAATGCAACTATATCGAGGTCAGTGCCTAGTTTTGACTCTGCTACATGTTTCGGGTATTAATAGCCATCATCAGGCAAATACATGGCCAACATATATACACCACTAAACTGCAGTACTAGGAAAATTGGATACGACTTATTATTTATGTTCCCTACAGAACGGACAATACTTTGTAAGATGAGGCAGCGACTAAATAATTAACATTAATAGTACTACATCTACATCATGAGCCTCCAATAACAGTTTTTATATACACACAAAATACAGAATACTCCAATTTGTCCGTGGGAACGCAACAAAATTACAAAAACCAACAACTGACTCAATGATGTAAAGCATCAGTCAAAGAATTTTATTCTTGTTTTATACTATACCTTTTGTTTTATATAATCTAATTTATTGTATTTTTATGTCAAGTATTTTATATAATTAATATTATTGTATCCAATTTTACTAGTACTGCAGTTCAGTGGTGTATATATGTTAGCCATTTTTTGCCTGATGATGGCTATTAATAGCCAAAACATGTAGCAGAGACAAAACTAGGCACTGACCTTGATATAGTTCTGTTATGATGGTTTTAATAAAGAAGTTGTATGCACCATATTGCTGCAAAGTTTGTTCTGCAATTCTTAAAAGATGATCAAAAGCAGCAGTGCATACCGTGTCTTCAGCTATGAGAGAAGGCTACTGAGGACCCAACTTTTATCTCTAGGATCATAACAGGTGAAAAAAGTTGGATTTATGGTTATGATCCAGAAACGAAGCAACAATCATTGCAGTGGATAAAAGCTGGCAATCACCAAGAGCAAAAAAGGTGCAGCAGGTCCAGAGTTCAAAAGTTGTTATTTTCTTAACGTGAAATGGGACTGTTCACCATGAATCTGTTCTTCCTAACATTATGGTCAACTCTGACTTTTACTGTGATGTTTTCAGATGCCTGAGAGAAAATGTGTGATGAAAAAGGCCAGAACTTTTCTGCATTCACAAATGCCTCCATCATGACAATGTTCCTGCCTGCATGTCTCTGAAAACAACAGAGTTTGTGACTAACAACAACATGGTTATCATTCCTCATCCTCCCCACTTGCCAGAATTAGCCTCCTGTGATTTCGCTTTGATTCTCAAATTGAAACTGAAACTGAAGGGACAACATTTTGAAACAGTGTCTGACATCCAAAGGGAATCACTAGCGGTTCTCGACAGCATTAAGGAAAATTACTTCCACAGTGTTTTTGAAACGTGAAAGAAAATTACAGGATAGCTGTATACGTTCCAAAGGAGACTATTTTGAAGGAGATGACAGCCAAAATTGAGTAAGTTAAGCCAGCATTTTTTTTCTGACATAGTCAGGGAACCTTCTGATACATGTAATATTAAGTTTCGTCTAAAAATCACTGGTTTCCATTTAACTGGAACTGCCACAATATTTTGTTTAAATTACCTTACACCACAACACAAACAATATCAACAATTTCTCATTTTTATTAAACTTACAAAAGCATGTGTACACATAATGCCAAGCCTGCCATACAAGGAAACAAAGTGAATGAGCAGAAACTGATGTTCAATGATGCACTGCACTCAGTTAAATGGTAATGAACTGTCAATATGTTGGGTGCAGGTTTTGAAGCAGTAGCAACTGATATGAACTGTGGTACAGTTAGACTACCAAGAAATGAATAATGGTCATAAAGCCATTTAAATATATTATGATTAACTTGCATATTTTGTGCAATTCATCACAATTATTTTAAAGAAAATGGCAACGTAGTTAACAGAAGTGACATCAGCAAGAATAGGACTTTTAAAACCGAATTTCTTATAGAAGAAAACTTATTATCCAGGAAGCACTTCTTTATCACCCGAGTCTAACAGGCATAAGAATATTTTTCAAGAATTCCTAATGGTAAAGATAAAACAGTGAAACAGACCAGATGCAGAACGCAGACCGAGCGTATCAAGGCAGTCTGAGTGCAAGAAATAGAGTGTGGCTGTCTCCTGCAAAATTGTGTAGTTCCGATGCTCTTCATCCCACACCACCAGCACTGCGTCACCCACGTTGCACCTGCAATGACAAAATATCTTACAGTTCTTATTAATGCCATAAGTTAATGGCTATGTACAGGTAAAGTTACCCTCGAGAGCTGTCAACACAACAATTGATTATAAAACTAATATTAGAACATCTGATATTTAGTTTATTTGCACCCCACTATGTTTTGATCTGCAGAGATCACCATCATCAGATGATCTAAGAATACATACCTATTGCCAATGAATTACACTCAACTCTCGATTATCCGGGGGCGGATAAACCGGTTTGCGGCTTAACCGGGGCTACGGGGGCTTTTTTGAGGCTTATATGTTGTTTAATATTCATTCACTTTTGTTTCACATGGTGAGTTGTAACACTATTTTCACACTAGTGTGAACTGAGCTCTGCATTTTTTGGTCCTGTTATGCTAACACAATGTTCTAGGGTAGGGGTGAAAGAATGCAAGGATTTGTGGAAAGTTTCAAGGCCAGATACACCGCCCCAGTTAGTCTCTTTGTATCGATCTTCAAGTGCATTAGCAAAATGTCATGGTGTAAAAGGAAGCATGTTGTGTTAAGTATTCAATAGAAACTCGTCTGAGCCGGGCTTCGAAATGTTAAGCAGTGACGAAATCGTAAGTTCAGTGGGGGTGCAGCCAGGAGAGCGGGAAGAAAGTGAGAATGAGGAAAAGGTGGACAGTACTGCTAGTAAGAAAATATCACCAGGTGCTGCTCTTAATCATTTGGAATCCTTACTAGACTATCTTGAGAGTGAAGGGAACACTTTATTAAGTGACAAGCTAATATTACATAGGCTTCGTACGGATATCCGTAAAAAGGAAAATGCCACGAAAAAGCAAACGACAATATTAATTTTTTTTTAAGTGGTAAGTGTGAATATTCGTAAAAAGTGTTGGATGTTGTTGAACACTGTGACTGAAATAACTATTTCTTACTTCAGTGTAATGTAAAAAAATTATTATATAGGCCATGAGATGACATAGAAATGAGGTTGAATAAATTTAAATACAGGTAGGCCTATCTATAGTATTATGAAGGTACAGTATCACAGTACCACTTTTAATAAAATTTGTCTTAACCAGGTTTTCGATTAATCATGATTTCCATCCCCACCATTATCCTGGATAATAGAGAGTTGAGTGTATTTATTAAAATCAATCCATTTTTATATTTTCCAGTAACATTATTATTTAAATTTTTAGGTTTTAAGTTTGTAAGTACAGGACATGTCTCAAATAACATATACTGTAACGTACTAATGGTTAAATTTGCTACAAGTTAAAATCTAGTAGTTTAAAGAAAAGTAGATAAAAATTAGAGTTTTAATATAAAAATGGGGGAGAGTGGTGTGTTTAGGGTACTGGTCATTGTGTGGTGTAAATAAGCTTCATAGTTTTTTATGTGTTTTGGCAAGCGAAACTTTCTTCAAGTGCATAAGGGTGATTGATTGGCACGCAATATATATGCTGTTGTAGGTGACTGGTTTTTGTGTCTGCAGAGTTGCTGTTTGTAGATATACACTGATGTATGTAGTATATGAAAGCTTTCTGTATGGGTGGCTCAGCTTCTTACAAGCTGCCAGATATACTTTCATAGATAATACAATGATGACAGATTCGTAGACCATCTGATGATGATCTCTGAAGACTGAAAAATGTATAGGGGCATAAGTGAACCCAATATTAGACATCCTAATATCAGTTTTATAATCAACTGTTAACAGCCCTTAAATATACCTTAAATACATGATACACAACATCATGCAAAAAATAAGATAAAGTTGCCTGTGCCCAACCACTACACCACGTATAGCATACGAGGGTCAGTCAAAAAGTTCCCGGAATGGTGGTATATCACTCTAATGGTAGGATATACAGGAACACTTACCTAATCACCTTCAAAGTTGGACCCTTGCGCACACACACACTTGCTCCATCGATCCTGCCACTGTTGGAAGCAGTGGTGGAAGGCTTCTTTTGGAATCTTCCGGAGCTCAGCCATCACATTCGATTTGATATCCTCCATGGTTGCCAACAGTGTCCCCTTTAGGCCCATTTTCAGAGTAGGGAACAGCCAAAAGTCACTTGGAGAGAGATCCGGAGAGTACGGTGGTTAAGTGACGACAAGAATGTTTTCCTTGGCGAGGAATTGCTGCACAACAAGCAATGTGTGGCTCAGTGTGTTATTGTGATGCAGAAACCACTGTTCCTGCCATTTGTCACACCACTTCCTCCGAACCGCATCGCGCAATCTCTGCAGAACTTGCACATAGAAATGGCCAGTAACAGTACCAACTTCTTGCTCCAACTCCGCGATGGTCATTCTTCGATCACATCGAATCAGTTGTTGCGCTTTTCAAATCATTTCTTCAGTTCTGGATGTCAAAGGTCTCCCGCTGCACTGGTCATCCTCTAACACAAGGGTCTCCAAACTACGGCCCGCGAAAGAATTGTGCAGAAATGCGCCAATTGAACTAATTTTCCAGTGAGTACAGGTAAATGTGATTCCGAGCTTATTGACCTGACATATTATACTGCAGTTCGATGGCTTAGCTGTGGAAAGGTTCTTTCGCACTTCCTTCAGCTCAGGAATGAAATTTATATATTTCTTACTGAGAAAAACCACCATGAAACACTTTTATCAGATACCGAGTGGCTTTGGAAATCAGCATTCTTTGCTGATATGGTGAACCATATGAACCATTTGAATTTAAACTTGCAGGGTGAAAATAACTTAGTCTGTGATTTATTTGCACTTATCACGGCATTCAGAGAAAAGTTGATACTTCTGGAAAGCCAAGTGAAAAATTGTAACTTTGTTCATATGCTATACTGTGCAGAGTTGCATAAAAAGGGTGAAGCAGAATTTCCTTCCTCGTCTGCAAATTCAGTCATTTCAGATATGAAAGAACAATTTCGGAAGCGATTTGCTGATTTGGATTCCAGTGCTCAGGAAATTAGATTGTTTCAAAATCCGTTTGACTGTGATGCTGCAGATGTCCCAAGTCAAATTCAAATGGAAATTACTGAACTTCAGGAAAATTATCATATTAAAGACAAATACAAGGAAGGAAATTTGATCGAATTTTATAAATTTCTGAACTCTGAGCAATTTCCAAATTTAAAGAAATTTGCTTGTAAATTTATCTCCATTTTTGGGACGACATATCTGTGTGAACAAACTTTTTCCCAGATGAAGTACATCAAGTCAAAATACAGGGTAAATTTATCCGATGAACATTTAAAGTCGCTACTTGTGATTAGGGTTTCAAAATTTGAACCTCAATTTAATCAGATTTTAAGAATGCAAAAAGAGTTCCATCATTCACATTAATTGTTTTATTATAATTTGTGATGAAAATATGAGCATTTGCTGCTACTGTCTGTTGTCATTAATATACGATAATTTATTCTCACGTACTTTGTATTTAGTTTATGAAATTCTGTGCTTTCAATAAAACTCATATACCTAGAGTTATTAATTTCTCATTTTATCCGGCCCATTGAAAGTGCTGAATTACCTAATGTAGCCCCTGCTCTAACAGATGCTGCCCATTCTTAAACCGGGAAAAACCAGTCATAAACTGCGGTTTTCTTTAGTTTAGTATCACCGTAAACTTGCTGCAGGGTCGATAGCACTCTGATGCATATTTTCCCAATTTGCATATGAACTTGATGTTCGCATGCTGTTCAAACTGCGACATTGGGCCGAATGACCAAAACTCACATCTAACTCAAATGGAATAGTAATGACACTGCATACTGAAACGTGTCCAGACATGTTGTGCCTGCGAGCAGACATGCTGAGCTTCCCACCACAACAGCGTGTGCACTATCTTATCACTAATTCTCCATCTGCAGGGACATTCCAGGAACTTTTTGACTGCCCTATGTATAATGGAAGTGGACATAAAATTTATGTGGGTCATTTCATAAATAATGCACAGGTTGGCAACACTGTGGATTAGGTGATGCAACAACAGTGAGCATCACGTCAGTTATAGTTCAGGGTTTGAAAAAGAAGCACGTTATTTTGTTTCATTTATAATGTACTCTGTTCTTAAATAACGTGAATTAGAAATGGAGCCTGCACGGTTCTCAGGTACTGTGACTGTTGAAAATCAAAGGTCATACATTAAGATCAAAACTTTACGTGGAAAAAACCCAACAGAAATCCACAATGCGTTAAGTGAAGTTTTTGGCGAGTTAACAGTGGACCGTGGTACAATTTCTCACTGGGCTAGTCGTTTTCGTGGCAGTCATGTGAGCATAAATGATGATCCAAGGCCAGGAAGGCCAAAAACATCAACAGACGAACGAAGTCTGAAACTTGTGTCAGATGCTCTTGAAGATTGTCGTGTGACATGCGAGGAACTTTCTGAAACCACGGGGATTCCACCGTCAATATTCCGAATTCTGACAAATTATTTAAAGAAGAGAAAGATTTCTGCGTGATGGGTCCCTCACTGCTTGACTAGTGAACAGAAGTAGAAACGCTCGACATTGCAACCTTGCTGAAACAAAGATGCGACGTTGAAGGTCAAGCATTCTTGTATCGACTTGTCGCTATTGATAAAACGTGGGTTAGAGACTTTGAACCAGAGCTGAAATCACAGTCCAACGAGTGGAGAGGTCCATCTTCCTCACGACCAAAAAAATTTTGATGATCTCAATCAAAGGTCAAATAAATGATGATCTTTGCTTATGATCACCAAGGAATCAACATGACAAACAGAGTAACGTGCGGGAAAGGTGTCACAGCAGTTTATTATTGTGACTTTATGCAAAATCTGCGCAAAAAAATGCACAAAAACTGACCTCAGTTGCTCGAGGCTGGGCCGATCATTCTCCATGACAACGCTCGCCCGCAAATCGGGAATGTCGTAACAGAAAAGCTGCGCCAATATGGTTGGGAGGTGTTGCTTCATGCTCCCTACAGCCCGGACATGAGTCCACCAAACCTCGACTTATTTCCAAAGCTGAAACAGCCTATGCGAGGCCGTCGTTTTCCTTCTCTGGAAGAGCTTTCTGCTGTAGTTACCAGAGCCATTCGACATAGAAACAAAGATAGTGTTCTGGATGGAATAGTACAGCTTCCTACACGTTGGGACTCGGTCATTGAGAAGCAGGGGGACTATATTGAAGGACTGTAAAGAGATATTAAAAAAAAAACAAGGACATAAACAAAAAATTGTGTGCATTATTTCTGAAATGACCTACGTACCTACTGTTAACTTGGCAGTAAATGTTAGTGAGCTGTCAGCTTCTGGTAAGTTCATTTTTCTTCAGCCTAAGATTATTTAAATTACATGGAAAAGGGGTGGAATTTGTGCACTTTCTCAAATACTCATCTCTTCTTAATATTATGGTGTAGTAATATTCCTAACCTCAAAATTATATTCTGAAGAGCAATATTCACACATTTTAAGCTCCCCAACTTTCAAATACAAAGTTTTGGTTAAAAGGAAGTCTGTACATCATGTAAGTAAATATGGTAGTCTGAGATAGTGACAGCATGAGAAAGCATGGGACACAGATGTATGGGAATGGGTACCCAGGCATCTAGGTTATGGCACTGTATTTTTGTTCCTAAGGTTCAATCAAGATGGGCTACATCCAGTGCATATTCCCCCCATTACATTCCTGTTCAGCATCAACATTCAGATTTAGACACCCCCCCATTGGCTACCATGTTTCCTACCATCAAGTATAGAGACATCTGTCTCATAGTGTTCCCACCTTGAAAATGGACTCCTTCACCACTGCCATGGCAGAAAAGAGCTAGAAAAAGTCAACAAGACCACAAAATGAAGCATTAATAACAAGTATGGAAATATACTCACGATACAATGCTGATCTTCCCTTGCTGAATGAGAGATGTTGTGCTCCGTGTCTGCAACATGATTAACAATTTCCTGCATCAATTCAAGTAAACAACAAGATACGCAGGATTTTTTGTCTATCATGGTTATGCTTCGGTATCAGCTACCAACTTAATTTACTGTTCTTATAAAAATTAGGTTTATTTCCAAGCCCAGTATTTTAAAATGCATATACAAGTGATATGACTACAATGGGATCTTTAACATGTCTCCTTGCTTAATAATAAAAATTATAGCTAAGTCTCAGTATAATGGTTTTCTTACAAATAACATATTTGAAAACAACCCTGATAAGAAAATGGAGGCAACATAACCATGAGATAATGGAGCAGGACTAAAGAAATTAGACGTTAATTGTGGATAAGGTAAAGTTTTCCCTGTGATTAGTTAATTAAGCACTACGCCATGAAGACATATGGGGCAGCAGAGGTATAGCTTCACTATTCTTGACCTCGGCACCAGATGAAGTGAGCGTTCAGCTTCACACCCTGCTGCTTTAAATCTTAAATAAAGGAAAATTAACTACAGATTCCACTGTTACTACCTCTTGTTAATACTCACTATGAAATTAAATGGCTACTTAAAACATGGAAAAACTTATCAGAAATTACAAATATAAATCACTCCGTCCAATGTGACCTGTAAGTTTTTTACTACATGAAAACTTAACACCCTTACATGTTTCGGTCTCTGTGGACCATCTTCAGAGGGCAAACATCACTACAAATAGGAAACCACCATCACATAAGTTGTTTAGACGTAAAGTACATACGTACGTAGTGTGACGGACCAGAATGAAACAAATCAAACTTATCAGAAATAGTGTCATATAAGTAAAACAGCTTTAGGCATAAACATTTCAGCCACAAAAACAAACTCCCTACATGTGCAATTGGCCTACATTTAGTATACAGTATACTGCACATCATTTAGGAAACAGTACAGCAATATCAGCAAGAAATAAATATGTCTTGGAGCAGATACGTTTTCATACTTAAAATTGGAAGTAATCTCAAATTAGTCCAGATCCTATGATTTCACTGAGCTGTAGAACAAAATAGACATGTTGCCTATTCAAAACTTGTTAATTTGGCATCAAAAGCCTAACTAGTGTTTCCTGTGTTTGGTATTATACAATATAACAAACTGGACAGTATTCATACATATTTACAGGCCACTTCATGATAAGTCAAAATTAGCTTCTTAGAAAAAAAAAGTATTTCAGTGTTACTAACCAACTTTTCCCTGAAAGGGTGTTCCTCCTGCAGGCCTCGCTGTGAGGGCTCAGGGCTTGTAGCTGCATCTCGACTGCTGGTGCTCTCCCTGTCAAAATGTCATGATTCCGATACATACTTCTCCATCAACTATTCACAAAATGTTCAAACACAATCTAGATGTAAGGGGAACAGGCCAGTCTTGTTCACTGCCTGGTTCCTTCATCACAATGAGAATTCAGTGCTAATATATCATAATTCTTACTTCAAACATATAACTGCTAACTTATACCATGCACTGAACCCATCTGATGAACTATCTCCCTGATAACAGAACACAGAAGTGCAACACCACTAATAACAAAGACTTACTCTGAACATGATCCTGAACAGTTTCACCCATCTCCCACCATCACAAATTTCCTGAGATCCATCTCATTGCTATGATCCCATCTCATCATCTTCCAGATCACATCACTTTCCTTACAAATCCTACATGAATTCTCATTAAAATTCTACTGACCATTTTCTCTCCCCATTTTGGATACTTACCAAACATACTGTAACCGCTCCACTGTCACTCACTAATTTAAGTATAATTAGAATGATCAGTAACAAAAAATTAACTGCAGGTAACAAGTAATACCAAAGCCAGTGGGACATAGTCACAGTCTTGTTTTCAGGAATGGACTTATTCCAAATCTTGATGTTACACAGGAAGCACTCCCTGTGGCTTTTTCTGAGAAATTCTGTTTGCGAGTAGCACGGTGGCAAACTTTGAGAATTTGATCACTGACAGGTCCTGCAAGTTGTAACTTAAAAGCAGGCAGTTTTGAAACCCATGCCAAGCAGGTTATCTGTCAGTGTACTGTCAAAAACGACATTAGAACTTTTAAGGGTCAAAGCCCCAAATTGCAGCTAGCTGATTGAAGATCCAAAAATTGTGTAAACCCCAGTTCTCAAAATTACCCAATCAGTGGAATTAAGGGGGAGTGACTTAGCAGAGGAACTGACATCCAGGGGACCTCAGTGTTTTCAGACAAAGAGTCACAAGTTTGTTGCCAGTCGCCAAGGCAGTTGCCAAGTGCCTGTTGCTCATGAACAATTTAAAAACAAAATCTGTGTTTTTCGCTGTTCTGTGGAACCCCAAGTTCAGAGTGCTAAAGAAAGTGTAAATTGTAATAATAACGTCCGTTATTCCAGGACTGTGCTAGATAAGGACCTATATACATAAGCATCCTTTGTATTGACTGTGTGCCATCAGGTGAAGGGAAGTGTTGATCTCAATAAATGGTCACAGTGTTTAAGTGCAAAGTAGCACTGAACCAACTACTTCCCTCCCCGTCCTAAGCGAGGCCCTAGGAACGCTCTGAGAAGGATCCCAGCTTTACCCACAGCTGAACTAGTTGACTATCACCTTTACCCCCTTTCCAAAATAAAACCTACAACTATTGTAACCGACACCACCTGAGCTTACTCGCGCCAAACCGAAGAAGAAGAAGAAGAAGAAGGAGGAGGAGGAGAAGGAGGAGGAGGAGGAGGAGGAGGAGGAGAGTGACGAACAACGCGTGACTAACCAACCAACAAGGGGGGAGCGAAGGTGAGGGAAGAACGGTTACAAAGAGTGAAGAGGTGGAGCCCAACGGAAGGGCTGGACGGTTATAATACCACAGCCTCTTTGATTTCCTTATTCTAACAATAGTAGGTGACCTAAAATGTCAGCTTCTTTTCCATGGCGTTTAAGGGTATACAGTAAAACACTACTTAAAGTTTCTTTTTGGACCAGTGGATCTTAACTCTAAACTGAATAAATTCTTGAACGGAGGTATTTAACAATGCGAATACTGACTCGGGATCCTTGATATTGAATGTTAAATGACAGAAAATCTTAAACTGTGGAACACTAAACAGAAGTTCCATTACATATCTTCCATACAAACATTACAAATAATACATATACCTAGTTTGTACCTTTTATTATTCAACCATATTGTAACATGTTGCGCGACTGAGAACCCCCCTCCACCCTCCTCTCCACGGTAACGTAGCGCTCCCCGCCACTCCCCTCCGCGGTGACGTCACGCGGTGACGTAACGCGCAACGCTAACGTAACCGTAATCAACGTCCTACTGTGACGTGGCACTCATTACGCCACAGGCAAGCACTGCAGCTATATAAGTGGATGCACAGTGCGTATCGATCAGTTCGAGTTCGAGTTCGAGTTCGAGTTCGAGTTCCAGTGTGGCTACCGCCGAAGACATTCCGAGTTATAAAGTAACAGCCAGCCGACTACAAGTTGGAGTATAGCAGCCGTCGCGGTAAGAAGAACCGGACGTGTGTGTGATTGTGAAATTGGGAGCGTGTGAGACAGTGATACCTAGCTCCCCGACTGTAAACGTGTAGCCTACTGAAGGCAGACTGAACTGATTTGCGCATAGGGTTATAAAGTGTGAAACCCCGCAACAGTGGTGACAGATTAATGCGCTTAGGGTTATAAAGTGTGAAACCCCGCAACTGTGTGATAATTAATTGTAGCCGTTAGTTGTAGATTGTTAAATAAACCCAATTAACCATCTCTACGGCGTCTTCAGTAACGAGCAAACACGTTACAATATGTTTCAGATCCAATAAAGGATCATCAGATTGGTGGTAAGTATAGACCTCAAGGTCCACACCTATCCAACAGTTCAACTGACATTTACCTACTGTAGTAACCATCACTACACAAACTTTGATAAACAGAATATTACCATGTCTAAAGAAAATAAGCATAAAGCACTGTCTCAAGGTGGCAAAAGAAATCTCTCTTCAGGCACACTTTTCAGATTTTGTCTTTGTCTTTGTTTCAAACAAGGAATGACAGAGTTTGCTTTGCCTCTATGGACTTCCTGATATAAATTAGCTTGGGAAGCAAACCAGTGATTATAGTTCATGCAGAAAGTTGTGGAGAAAAGTTCTGACAGGCAAGAAATTGCTTGTTGTAATGAAAATGCTGGGAAAAAAAAATGCCATAATTTTATATGAAATCCCTCCATATATGTGATATTAACATATTGACGTGCAAATGTTTTTTATTTTTTCAATATAATGAAGTTCTCATTATATGCCGTGTTTGTTACATCATGGTTCCACTATACACAGATTATAATCTAGGATTAATATATTTACAGTCCCACTATGCTAATTCTAGCAAATTGCACCTTCTGAACAACAGATAAATATATCATATTTTGAACTGCAGTCAGGGCACCAAATGATAATATTAAAATGTATTGTAATTTGACAGTACTGACGTATATATGTGGATGCATTTTTGAATAGCCTCATGTGTAACCACTGTGTTTTCTTATGTGAAAACTTCAGTTGTACTGTACACATATTTTTGTATTTATGACATATTTCACATCCTACAGTCATTCTGGCTGTGGATCCTGATAATGCAATGCAATGTAATGTAACATAATGTAATATAATATAATGTAAAAAGGAAATATGACGTGATGAAATTAATTAAACTGAACTCGCTCTGGATTATGTACAATGACGGCACTAACTAAGATGGAACATGAACGTAACTGATCAGCAGATGAAGAATTAGAATGTAATGGTCATGACTTATAAAATATTGCCATGATATTCAAATGGGAAGAAAGAAGAAAACAACTTCAACCTGGGTGACTCGCTGCCTAGCCAAGATTTCAGTCAGGCACTTCCTGAACATCAGTCTAGATTGTTATCGCCATATCAACATTCCTCATGGCAGTCTCTGACACCAGCCTTATGGAAGTTCCAGGCTATATTACCAGAGTTATTCAGATGGCTGGACAGTTAACTGCAGTCACTGCTGTCAGAGGAACAAACAGTGTGTGACACTCACTGAACAACAGCAACTGAAGTGTTCATCTCTGCTGCCTTCCTCTCACGCTCCTCTGCCAGCTGGGCTTGTAGACATGCCTTATCAGCTTCCAGCTCATCCATACGGTCCAGAAGAGGCCACATTGCTGATCCAGCTCTGGCGTCAGGACCAAAACCCATGCAGTGAAACAGAGTACTTTATGAGCTCAGAGAGACTTTCATTGTACAATCAATGAATCATCTTTTAATTATATGAACATAACATAAAACCACAAACAAACAAGATAGAGGCAAAACACAGAAATATAGTCTCATTCCAATATTGGCTATTCATGTCACATCAATAAATACAGGCAGCAACTGACAGCAGACCAAATTTTTTCCTAAGACCTTGCAAATAGAGGAAGAGACTCAACACAACTCTCTAACTTCAACTCTGTGACTTAGCAAAAAAAATTACCATTACTGTCATTACAATTTCAATCATGTAATGCGCATTTCCGTGTTCTTGGTAAATGCCTCTATCTACAGTCTAAAAAGGAAATTTATATATGATAAGAGGAACTAATTAAACCATTAGTTTTTGTGAAGATCCAAAATCACTCCTCAAATCACACATCAAAACAATACTTTTTCAACCATGGACACTCAAATCTATTCTTGGCTTGCAGACAAATAAACAAACTGCTAATTAACCAGACACATAGCACAAGGCATTTTTCAGCAGCCGACAGTCCAAAATTCACTCTCTCAAAGAAACCTGTACTGAAAACTGCATCAGAGAAGATGAAATGTCTTGAACAGCATTCAAAACTTGAAATATACCTGTAAAGGGGCACTGTATATGACTGGCAGTCTATGAAAGAGAACATTTTTGCATAATGTTCCATTGGAGTTTAACCCGTTGCCGTGGTTCGTCGTGTATGTTTCGTCAGGGATTTAAATCGTCTGGGGGGGTTCGACGTGTATGTTTCGTTCAGCTGCACACCTATGTTATAACGCCCATAATAATTGATGGTTTTGCTGTAGATTGTTAGATTTTTCGCTGGCCTGTTGTCAGTAGAACAGAGTATAAATAAGACACGACTTTATCTGNCAACACTTGTTATGATAACATGAAGGTCGAATTTACTGCAGCTAATCTGGGTAGCGATACGACTCACGGAGAGACATTTCTTCTTATATTCCCCCCACGGGGAAGAAGGCAGGGCCTCACAGAAGATGTTTTGTTTACGGAAAAAATAGCCAAATGAGAGATACGCAGTACTGGTATGGTGATGTGAGTCAGCGCTGTCTATAGTAGAATGCTTCAATGCGTGTAACACTCCGCTCAAATTCTGAACCACCACCGAGATACCGGGTGCTCATATTATAAGGCAAGGTTATAAAACCATCTTTTAAGATCATTTTAGTGAAAGTTTCATCCTTCAAGGCGTACCATTCACTGCTCAAATACTAAACAACCTGCACCCATGGCCGAGATACAGGGCGCCCATATTATAAGGTAAGGTTATAAAACCACAATTTAAGATCATTTTAGTGAAAGTTTCATGTTCCTATCTCATAGAATTTAAGAACAATGATGAATAAATAATTTTCGAGCAAAATTTAAATGGCCGGCTGAATATATTACCGCAGGAGCCGCGGCCGCGGAATTTAAATGACCACGTCAAAGGGTTAATTGGTACATTACTGTATAGTCAATGTTTGATTATCTGCAATAATGGTGAGAAAAGCAGTGTGGATAAATAAAAACAAAGGATAATCAAAGAATTTTGAACCATCCTGCATAAAGCATGTGCAACATGTTGAGGCATAAAAGCATTAATGCTCTAGGCAATATGCACTTTTGCAGCATGAGGATGCTCTCACTTCAAAAGTGAGCTGCCTTGTTGAAATTGCAGAGTAAGCCAGTGGGCACATTTTCAAGAAGGAGCAAACCACTTCTCGAAATGAGCACAAAAATATCTCTGTGCTGTGGCAAGAATCTTCATTTCCACAAAAAAACAAAACACATTCCACTCTCTGCTTGACACTCTCCCATCTTGGTATCTGGAGCTATATACCCTCTTCATAGGAGAACGGCAATTATATAATCTCCAATGGAATATCCACGAAGAAGACCACTCACCAGCATGATTCAGACTTTCCTCATAACAAACTTGCCATTCCACAATCAAATGAATCTGCAGATCACTTTATCTGCCAGTTGATAGTACAATGATACAGAAAGCTGTGACAGGGTCAGATGATGTTCAGTCTACTGCAAATTACTGTAATGCATCAGTGATACACAGCAGGCAACACTTAAATCATTACAGGAAATCATAACTAACAATTAAAGGGGTTCTAGAAGTCACATATTTAATCTGCAAAATGGATAATTTGCATGCAGATAATCAAAAGTTTAGGGCATGTGGATAATGGACAGGCATGGTAAAACTAGTGGCACCCTAACATTGTCACATCTGCATAAATATAACAGATGTGCACCTTTGTATGTGCCTAATGGACAGGCATGGTGAAACTAATGGCACCCTAACATTGTCACATCTACATAAATACAACAGATATGTACCCTTGTGCGCCAGATTCTCTACTGTCTGTCAGCTGCCGGATAGTTTCCTGATGGCGCTGACACTCCTCAACCAATGAGACTTCACGCATTCGCAGGATCTCCAGCTGCCGCTCCTTATCTTCCACCACACGCCTCATTGCCTCATTGAACCACACCTAGTGACCATTGCAGTAGCATGTAAGTACTACAATACAACCCAAGGACATAAAATTTAACAACTACAACTAGTGAATTCAATGCCTGTTTCCCATTTATGAAGCTTATGTATCTTCAATATTCTGCCTGCAAGTGAACCAAATAAATTGGAGTGATAAGTTTGCTAAATTTGCCATAATAAAAGCTGATAAGAACTTACAGGATGGTTTTGTATTGCAATATCAATTCAATGTTTCACTATGTGCACTTGTGTTAATATGTGCCTTCCCTGGAGCCCCAAACTGACCTGTCTCTCTGCCTCAGAGCGTAGACGAGCCTGCTTGAGTTCCTGCTCAAGTCTGGCCTCCCAGCATGCTCTCTCCTTCTCCACTGCTCTTCGCACTGCTGCCTCCCGTTCTGCTGCCAGATCCTTACGAATCTGAGCCACAATTGCCTCATGATTCACCAACTCAATCAGTTCAGACCTCTGTTAACACCCATAAGTGCACTAAGAAATGGCTCATACTTAGGTCTACTACATGAGCAAGCCCTAGCAGCACTCTTTAACACTTGTTCCTAAGTAATGTATTTTTGACAATGCCTTAAGAAGCTAACTCCTTATGAACTCAGCCTTTAATAGATTCTTATAAGAAATTATTCATAATTTGTATGTCACTTACTAGTGGAAGGATGAGTAAGCAATAGATTCATATAACTAAATGACCAATTACCTCACTGGTTAACCAGTTCACTAACTAAAAAAGTAATGAACCAAATTATTAACTAACAAACCAAATAACTGACTCCCACAATTTAAGATGTCCTTGAATAGTCGACAGTTGAATGAATGAATGAATGAATGAATGAATGTATAAGGGGTGGGCCTTCTCGGCCCGCAAATTCTGCAGTACAGTGAACTACTGTAGTCAATGGCTACTCACGTGATCAATAAGTTCCCTGCTTTTATGGCAGCTGAAGTCTCATATCCGTATTCACAAAGGCCTGCCACTAAGATCATATTTTCAGCCAGTTCACTTATGTTCGTATTTTCACATCTTATTTCAGTAGCACTATCTTCCCAAAATAAGCCTAAATATCCCAAGTTGTATCTTAACAAACAAACATTCAAATAAAAATTTTGTATCTGTTTTTAATTTCCTCCGATGATCCTATATATTACATTCATCTCATCCATTTTGATTTAACCAAACTGTTATCTTACTTCCTCTTACATCCTTATACACTTTGGTCAGACCATTATACTGTTTCACAGAGTTCAATTTTATTCTAATTATTGGGTTCAGCAAAATGTGTGTAACTTTACTTTCATTCAATCACATCAGCCATACCCCTCAAACCCACTCACTTATTCATCCTTCCCGAATTAAAAACTCAAACAATGTTACATAAAAGTCTTCACAGATCCCTTGCCATGAAATTTTTTCCAGTCTTCCATTATGTCGTACCTCTTATAGCATAAATACTTAATTCTATGAATTTCTTAACAATGGCATCTATATTCTAACAGCATGACAAATGTTAGCAACTGACCAATTAGCTGTGAAGACAAGCAATTTTCATATTGTGTGGCACACCTCAATCTTTTCAAGGCTGCTGTCACTGGGGCTGCGCTCCATAGAAGTGGTTGCCATGAGCCTAAAACGAGATCGCAGTCCCTCTAGTTCTGTCTTGTAGCTGTGAGTTAGCCGATCAGAGAGCTCCTTGAGGGCTCTTTGCTTATCAGTCTCTGCCCCTTCCAGCTGCTCCTGTACAACACTGCACTGTTGCCTCATCTCTGAAAGTTCAAGTTCTAGCTTCTGTAATGCTTCTTGCCGGGACTGAACTTTCTCCTCCAGCTGTTCCTCCATATTTGCTCGCAGAGATGCCAGGTCTTCTTCTTTCATTAAGATGGTCTGGAAACATAAAATGAGTGTCCATAGTCTTGAGATTCACATAATGTTTCCATCTCAGTTCAGAAATACTGAGGGAACAGCAGATTAACAGTCAACTTTACTGTATATTTGATAAAGAATGTAGTTGAAGTGCACAGTAGCTTAATCTGAACCTTTCTTCAATCTTCACTTTTGCTGACATTAAAGAGGTTCAGCTGCAAACTTTTGTTTGACAAAGTGGTTCTGATATTTAAAATACAGAGTCTAGTGAATCTGGTCACAAATGTACACCAAGGGAACTAAATTTAGGTGTTAAATTCTGTTATAAAGTAAAACGGTTTATCTGATGGGAATGAAATTAGTGGGCAACTTAGGAGACTGCATAATGAAGAACTTTGTAATTTAAATACACCACTAAGCATTGTTACAATTCTGAATTTATCAAACTTATAAGTTAAACATAGCTTACATGGCAATCAGGAAGAAATGCATATGGAAATGTTGGTGGTAAAACTTCTATGAAAGTGATCATCTGGAAGATCAAAATGTTGTATTTTGCGTTACAACAGCGTATAAAGTGCAGCAGTTTCACCAAAAACAATTTTAATGCATCTCATGATGGCTGTATAGAACGAAACATGTTGTAAAAATTGAAAGAATTAAGTGTTTTAAAAATTAAAAATTAAATTCTGAATTTTAAAACTTCAAGTATAAACTGCATGGAAGACAGAAACAAATATGTGGAAGATCAAAAGTAAACTGAATCTAAGATAAATAGGTTATAACGAAAGGAAGTGCATAGAACTGTCTAGGAATAAGGTATAATGGAGGGTTTTGGTACTAGTAGTGTCAAAACTTTCAGCTTAATACCAGACACATAGTTATTTAATAAAGAACTGAACGACAATGTGTTTCCACACCAAACCTGCTTCAGGATTCGGATCTCCTCGTCCTTAGCCTCAGCTGCACTCCTAACATATTTCTTGAGGGAATCCATCTCCAGTTCATGGTCTACAGTGAGACGTTGTAACTGTTCCTGCCTAAGCATCTTCTCAGCCTCCACAGCAGATTCATATTGCTGTCCCAATGCTGCCAACAGCTGAGCCAGCAATCCATTAAATTCAACCTGCTCCTGCCAGATGAGAGCCCGCATGCTAGCTAACTCTGTTCGTAACTCACTCACAACCTGAGCTGTAGTGCGCCAGCAAGCGCTAAGTTGCCCACGCAGCTGCTCTACTTCACTCCGGGTGTTGCCCAGATTTTCCTGAAAACACCAGCAAACCACCCACACAAATACTTAGTAATGTGTCTTTACATTTATCAGTGCTTCCAAGTACACCAACCTGTAAACAAAATCATTCATAACTATGAATTGTGAGAAACCATTATCTTCTCTCATATAATTATTCTTGCAGGACTTTCTTTAAATTACAGTTTAAAGCTATGAGTAATAGGTTTCAGGTATTTAATTTTTATTTTTGCTATAGCCAATCACAATGTCCACCCAGTCTACAAAACACATGGTCTTGGTCAGATTAAACTATGTGATCAGGAGAGTTTCTATCACTCTTGGGACATGAATGTATTGCTTACATTTGTTTATATATATTATATTGTCCTGTGTAGGTACAGGCTTTGTAATAGGCTAATCAGCCATCCAAAGAGTCATATCAAATATATGTTGAAGGATCCATTCTTTCAGAAGAAATTCTACAATGCAAGAGACCACAGGGGATAAACAAAGATAAGAATACATTTTTTTGATTAATACATTAATTTGATTCAAAGCATGATTGATTCCATGTACTACAGTAGTTTCACTGATGTTACAGAACCAAACACTCAACCAGTTGCTTATTATTATTTGTTATTATTATTATTATTATTATTATTATTATTATTATTAGAGGGGGTGGGTTTCACCATGCACTTAGACCAGTTATTGGTCCATTGTGCGTCCCCCTTTAATTTCTACTGTCGCCATACCCCACCGGTANCCCTTAAAAATTCCATGACCTCTGCCAGGTTTGAACCCGCGTACCTTGAGTCATGAGGTGGGAACATTACCCCTAGACTACGGAGGCCGCTAACCAGTTGCTTAACTTTATACAGTACTTTTATTCTCCATTTAAAGTCAGCCGACATTTTGGAGAAACATGTTGCCTCCATCTGCTTATATGCTCCTCCAAAACGTTATCTGACTTCAATGGACTACACAGCATCATATCCCAGAAGATAAAACTCTTCATAATCACTACTGTGAGAACCCAAGATCCCATATAGTAGAAAACCAGGCTATGTAACATGATGTCATCATTCATAAACAGACATAATTCTCAGATTAAATTCTATTGAAGTAATATTTTATCCACATTTCAATATGACTGGAAAGGAGTGAAAGTAAATCATTAAAAAGATGAGGTTTTAAAATCACACAGTAGTGAGTATTAAGATTACGGTCTTCTGCAATGTAGTATGGTAGATAAGACAGATATGCATCAATGTTTCAGGGAACACTGGAACCTATTACACTACTACACAGCATCACATCCCAGAAAACTGTAATTATAACACTTAAGAGTTGTTTGGATCACATGAAAACAGATTAGCACAGTTTCCTTCTCTTACAGATATGAGGGGCATTCAAGTTCTAAGGTCTCCGATTTTTTTTCTCAGGACTGGGAGCAGATAGACACATGCGGTTTTGTTTAAAATACGTGTGCACTCTTTGTGAATGCGTGACAGAGATGGCAGAACTCTAGTGGTAGCGGCGAGTGTGAGGAGTGTTTTTGATACTTAAAATGGCGACGTTTTCGTTACAAGAACAGCGAGTAATCATTCGTTTTCTCCACTTGTGTGGTGCGACACCCATTGAAATTCATCGCCAGTTGAGTGAGACATGTGGTGATGGTGTCATGAATGTGAAAAATGCGCGTTCGTGGGCGCGACAGTTCAAAGAAGGCCGAACGTCGTGTGACAACGAACCAAAACAATCTCGGCCTCGCACCAGCCGGTCTGACAACATGGTCGAGCAAGTTGAGAAAGTTGTTTTGGAGGGTCGCCGATTGAGTGTGGAAAACATCGCCCCCAGAGTTGGCATTTCCGTGGGATCTGTGTACAAAATCCTGCATTAAGAACTGCGAATGCGGAAAGTGTCCTCCAGGTGGGTTCCATGAATTTTGGCGGATGACCACAAGGCTGCACGCATGGCAATGATGAAGGCATGAATGGGACTTTCTTTTCATCAACTGTGACAATGGACGAGACATGGATGCCGTTTTTCAATCTGCTATTGCATCAGCAATTTTCCAGTGGTCAAAACAGACTCCTACAGAAGCGTTCACAGCGGCCATGGAATCATGGCGTCGACGTTGTGAAAAATGTGTATGGCTGCAGGGAGATTACGTTGAAAAGTGACAGAAGTTTCAAATTTTTTGTATGATTATTGTGTGAGAAAAAAAATCGGAGACCTTAGAACTTGAACGCACAACGTACATTACTGTATCAGCAAACCTCTTAGCTGCCCTGCCTGCTGAGGTTGACATATTGCTCTGTGAAGACTGCATGAAACATTTCACACATATCTGATATGTATTTATGTAATAAATTCAACATATACCTGGTATGTCTTCATGTTAATTTTGGCATACAATAACAAACAAAACTGAAAGACACCAATCAATCATTATTGAATTCACAGTCACAAACTAAAAGAAATCTCTGGTCATGAGATGCAGGTAGAATGAGCAATATGCTACTTGTCACGAGCAGGGCCTGAAAAGTCAAAATGTCTATTTGCTAGACACCAAACAATTATACCACATTTTGAGTAAATTTATAGAGGGATGGAATAATATGAAATACATTTTAGGGAACAGGTTACAAGGAAGTGTGACCTAGAGTGAACTGGCCAATGATCATCTCCATGTCATACTACTTTTCATTTCTAGTGCCAGAAGGAGTGACAGCAGGAGAAGAGACTAAGGTAAACTAAAATAAGTATCCCTTAAACATGACAAAGAAAACAGCCTCTATCATAAAGATGAAAGTAATGTTTCAATGCTGAACAAGGAACTTGTGCAATTGGAATGTCCCATGTTATCAATGTGTTTGTCTGGTTTCATAACAGAAACAAATCTGACCTTAAAGGTTCTTAATGATCCACAACAAAAGCTGTAAAAACAACTGAGAATTGTACTACAGATGAACTCCACTAAATAAAGAGAACAGAAGAAATATTCAAATGGGTCAGATGGAGGGTAGAGGTCTCTGGCTGGAAAGGACAGGGGCTTGCAACCAACCAAGGCCCAAAGCTTGTGAGTGGAACCATGAACTTAGCACAGCCAGATGCACAAACACAGAAACCAAATCCAATTTGGAGACAAAGAAAAACTAACAGAAAACAATAAGATTTCAAGGCAGAAAACTATGTAGTGAAAGAAAGAGAAGACACTTCCTTTTTCATGTTAAGTTTAGAATGCAATACTTACCACTGGATGTGGTTCAATTTACAGGACTATGATCAACGATCTACACCGTACAAGTGAATAAGAACAGACTCACCTCAATACCTACAATCTACATAACATTCAACTGAATATACAAACTTGAACCCATCTATCCAAACTAGCATTCACCTGTCACTTAAAATTACATTTAGAAGGAATACGGATATGACTCATAATAGTTCAAGTCTTATTACCCATGGTACATAATTACTGTATTTATGTAAGTGAATTTAAGGCAATGATTTATGAAAGATGATTTGCTAAAAAGGGTCTGCAAGTCTTTGAAGAATGATGACTCTACATTTCTGTGTAAATGGAAGGCTCAATATAATGCACAGATGTGAATGTTCTCTAACACTGCTTTGGCTAAAATGCACATGTATACATGCATAATTTATATCTCTGTATAGATTATACACAGATTATACAGTATAATTTTAGAAAAAACAAAACATTCCATTTTTAACTTTAACTTTTAGTCACAATTTCTAGTTTAACAAATATGAATATAAGTAACTGTTTTAATTTCTGACCTCATGTACTACCTGTGCAATGATTTGTATACCACATTCTAAGTTTCAACAGACACATGTTGAGGATTCTGATGGAAAAATTTGAGGATCTGTGGTGACATGCTTTCTGCTGCACGTGCCTCAGCTGTACATGTAATAACATTCAATAATAAAAGTGCAGAACTTCTGATTTTCAGCTGAATCAGTTAGGCAAAAGATACACTTGGTCTGTTACCCTGTTAACCTGATCATCCTAATTTTATTTCAACACAATCTGTATCATCACTGTATGCCAGTTTACCTCCTCTGTATGCTATTCTGATATGATTTACTTACTTACTTACTCATGGAGCCGAGCCCTTCTGGAGAAGCCGCAAATTCTGCAGCTACTCAAGAATTTCCCAGCATTTTATGGAAACCAAAGGTTCATTACCGTGTCCACACGAGCCCTCAACTGGTCCCTAACCCAAGCCAGATCAATCCAATCCATACCATCCATCCTATCTCTCTAAGATCCATTTTAATATTGTCCACCCACCTATGCCTTGATCTTATCAGTGATCTCTTTCCTTCTGGGTTTCCCCACCAATATCCTATATGCATTCGTCTTCCCCATTCGTGCTACATGCCCTGCCCACCTCGTCCTCCTTAACTTGATCATTCTAATTATACTTGGAGAAGATTTGTGTTCTTAATTGACCTTATCTTTTTTCTCTTTATGCTGTCATATGTTTTTTCAAAATCTATAAATAAAATTACTATATCCTTATCAAATTCCCAATGTTTCTCAATTAACTGCCTTATTGTAAAGGTCCTACTTAATGTGTATCTTTCCCAATAGAATGCTTGTTGTGCATCAGTAAACGTTGCTCTCCCCCCCCCCCAAATTTTATTACCTAAAATTCTTTAAAGTTGTGCAACAGCAACTGAGAAAAGTTGCTTTCTAATTACAGCAGTTTCTTGTCTCATTTCTTATATACTGGTATTATCACTGCATTCTTCCTGTCATCTTTATCATTCATTTGTCAAACCTTCCTAATAACTATACACTATACAGTATATACAGACACTGCATTCCTATTGGTCCTGCTGCTTTCATCATGTCTATTGTCACTTCATCATTTCCTGGGGCACTGCAGTTCTTCATTTCAGCAATGGCAATTCTGAGGTCTAGCATACACATATTTTCATATTTGTTCAGCAGCACTTGCTTCTTCTCTTCTAGTTACAGTGGTCAAATATGTAGGATCTGCATTTCGTAGTTCCTTAAAGTAGGTTTTCCGTATCTGGAAACGAGATGTGTTTACCATTGCACTTCACATTAATTGTTAGGGAATAAGACAACCATCAAGCATAACAAGCTTGACCAGAAACTTCTCTGGCACTTTTTTGAGGGCATTACGGAAAAAGAAAGGACATGTGATTATTTCATGCAAGATGATGCTACAGTACACTAACTAATTCCAAGGAGCTGAGCCCTTCCTGAGAAGCTGCCAGATGCTCAGCTTCTAAAGAATCTCCAAGCATTTTATGGAACACAAAGGTGCAAGATACAGCAGATGCTGGTGATTATTCTACTAATGTTTTAAATGAGGTGTGAGAAGACAGATTGATATGTTACAGACTGTGGCCTGCAAGGTCTCCAGACTTAAATCCCTCTCATTTTTATCTATAGTGAAGCCTAAGAGCAAAGTGTATTCAAAATAATCCCCACGCACACTGGATAAACTTAAGCATATCCATTGTGAAACTATTGCATCTCTCAAGGTCAGTGTACTCAAATTCATCTTTTCAAGAGAATCCATATTTGTTTAACACCAAAAGATAGACTCAAGCATCTACTGTGATCATGAGTTCTTGTAAATTATTTCTTTTCTTTAAGAATAGCATGACTGTGTGGCATATTAGTGAGAATGTAGACTGTTTTCTGAGTAAAGTATGGCTAAGGTTCTGCCTAACAAAGCACCTGTAAGAGCTGGGCAATTTTGCCTTTAAAAAACTGTATTACCCTTCAGTAACTTACATTTATTTTTCATCATCATCATCATAACTTTTTTTATTTCCGCTGCAATCCTCCCCAAAGTTTTCCTCAATGTATTCCAAGACTCTTTTTCTGCCCCCTTTCATGACCCCACAGTTCCTCTTCCTAATCTTTTCTACCTTTCTCTATTTCTACAATTTCTATTTTGAACCACATTTGCATGCTTCAGTCTTCTTTACAATTTTTGTCCTAATTCTACCATTCCACATAGATGTCTTCTTTTTTGACCATTTGTGTTGCATGTTTTATGAGCATACTACCTACTTATGTGGTCTCAATCCAATGAATTCCTTTTGGTTCACTGTCCAATATAATGCAAGATTTAGGTAAAGTTCAAACTTCATCAGTTTTCATAAAAGCGGCTCATCATTCAAAGTACTGGTATATAACATAAGGTACAGAACTCAGTGAGATCTAAAACATTTATTCAAAACATTTTTGATACACTGAATGTTTAATAACATAAAAGAAAAAATAATTTATCATTCAGTGCAGTGTAATATCTGTAATGCAATAGCGTTGCAGTAATATAGTTTATCTGCAGTAAATTAAAATGACAGTCAATGAAATATGCAAAATAGCAAAGAAGGCACTAAAAGACTGACAATGGAATACTTTTCCACTCATTGTTATAAGTCTGGGATGAAAGCGAGATGTAAGGAGATATGGTAGTACAAGACGTACTCTATGAGTATCACAGACATGACATCTTCTGAAGGCAACTGTAAGGTCGGAAGCTTGCCTTGAGCAATAAGGCTGAACCTCCCATGATCATTCCTCTCCATTTGCAATAACTCTTCCTACAACCAATTCCAGAAGCTGAGAGTTACTGTTCAAGTCTGTATTAGCCTAAAGTTAGCCTCAAAACATCAACAAAGTGTGACTAATCCCAGTTTCCATTAAGATCAGTGGTTAATCCCAACTTTCAAAACCACCAAACATAGCTGAGAAAGTTGCTAAAAGAGAAACTGCTTGCTTGGCTGCAAATGAGCAACTGGGGCCTGGTGTTCTGTACCTGAAGAAGAGTAACAAGAACATTTGTCTCTTCCAGCTGGCGGATCAGATCTGGTGCTGACTGGAGGCAGCATCTTGCACTGTTACTCTCCGTGTAGCTTGATGGCATCGACTCATCAATGTAAAAGTCAGCAGTGGTAAATTCAGAATGGGACTGCAGCAGCAGAGATGGCTGTTGGTGGGGAAGCATGGGGGATGAGGAAGGGGGAGAGGAAGAGTCAGCTCCGCTGCCACAGACACCAACCTCCAGCGTGCCGAGGACCGACGGCACCCTGTCTGGCTGTTGTACCTGCTCTGTCACCTGGCCTGTGGCACATACACTGCTTGTTGACGGTTTGGAGTCAAATGTCAGCTCTACTGGGCTCTGACCCACCTTCTCAAATTCCTCTGTGTCAGTCTCAGACTCAAAGCCTCTGCAACAGAATTACATAATTTGGTTACATGTTTTAAGAAACTGCAGTTTGGTGCATTCTACCTTGCCTGTAAGGTAACCTCTACATACAGACACACATCTGCACCTACACACAATTTGAAGCTACCACAGTGACTGAATGCAGATATGTCTTCTTGGACAATCAGCCATACTAATATAGAATGTGTTTCTCATGTCTCAGAGACTTTCCGCCTCTGTCTTCACAGTCTGATATTTTCACGTGCAACCTCATTCCATACTGACATGGGTGAATGCACAAGAAGACTGTGCTGCACATGTGTCTACTAATACAAAAGATGGCTCATCTCTGTGCTGAAATAGGAAGGAGGTTATTGATTTGAGACTACAGACAATGAAATACAAAAGCTTAAGTAACTGGCATCTATCTATCAAACCTTCCTTATCAAATCACACATGCTTCCAAAGAGGAAACATAGCAATAATGAAAGTCGCTTTAAGAGATCCCAAATAAGGTACATCTTGAGACCACGTCATGAAATATTTGCTGCTGACCAGCTGCAACAAGCCATTATCTAGTCGTCACTAGAATGTCTGGCAGGACCACTCCCCTGCCAATGAGTGTCTTAGTGGAATAAAGATTTAAGTGAGCTGAAGGTCAAAACAAGAAGGATGTAAAACACAGTCAAAAGGACAAGAGATTTGGACACCTATAAGAAGACCCTCATCTGCTACAACAAAGAAATTAAGAAAGCCAAAAGATCCTCATGGAGGGGGTGCTTCCAGATTAATGAAGGCTATGGAAAAATAGGAAACTAACAGAGCTAGCACCATTAAACTAGCTAATCATCAGTACACCCAGATCGGATGAAAATTTCTGAAAGAGCTATATAGAGTCCACTTTTCAAGACTAAGAATGATTGCTAATGAGATGACGGGAGAGAGCAGCCAGACCTAGAAGTGCTGAGGTGCAAAACAAACAGGCGAGACTGGAACCTGTCCAGAGTGTAAGAGAGCATACTAAATCAATCCAAAATTAAATGGCATATAAGTACTTTTAAACCGTTTAAATCAGCAAGAACAGAGGAGACTGTGTCTGTACTCCTGCAACATGGCATGGAGCACACGGTCCCCCATCTGTGCTCTATATTCAATGCCTGTCTGACATAGCAGCACATTTCTAAGGCGTGGAGACAGGTAAGAGTGATGTTTATACTGAAGCTGAGAAGACTAGCTATACTCAAGCCAAGGCATGCCTTGTCAGGCAACAAGGTTTTCAATTATCAAAATACCAGACATAATGATGGCAATGCCCAGAACAGGAATCGTTCTACCTCTCAACCCAGGGTCAAACCTAAACAACGCTCAAAAAAACAATCCAGAATCGACTTCAATAAGCTTGCAATTAAAAATCTCTGCATCACTGTGGCCGAGATAATCACACTGTGAAAGCCTGCAACACAGATCGCAACTCACTCAAGTGTATTGTCTGTAAGAGATCTGGACACATTAAGAAAGTGTACATTCAATCATTACTGGATTGCAAAACCAGAGTCGAGAAAGTATGTATGCAATAAAGAAGCTCTTGATTATTATGGGGTGAATCAGATTACATATCTTTTCAAAACCAAGAAGCAACATCACAAGACCGTGATAAATATTTTGTATCATTAAACATTGAGAGTCATGAACAGAAGTTCGAAGTCAACTCAGGTGCTGGCTTCATCTTCAATCCCAGATGAAAAATTCCATAAGTTTAATGTCTCAGCTCAGCTTCAAAACTCAACGGTTACATTTCATTCATATGTGGGAAACATGTTTCTGCCAGATGGGAAAGTCAAAGTAAATGTAGAATACCATATTGTCCGTTCTATAGGGAATGTAAACAAACATCGTTGTTTACATTCCCTATAGAACAGACAATACTTTGTAAGATGAGGCACAGACTAAATATGAATTAACATTAATATTACTATATCTACATCACGAGCCTACAATAACAGTTTTTATACACTAAATATAGAATACTCTTAATTTGTCAATGTGAACGAAACAAATTCACAAAAACCAACAACTGACTCGATGATCTGAAGCATCGATCGAAGAATTATATTCTTGTTTTATACTATAACTTTTGTTTTATATAATTTAATTTATTGTATTTTTATGTCAAGTATTTTAATATAATTAATATTATTGTATCCACTTTTTTTAATACTGCAGTTCAGTGGTGTATATATATTAGCCATGTATTTTCCTGATTATAGCTATTAACAGCTGAAATATGTAGCAGAGCCAAATCCAGGCACTGACCTTGATATAGTTTTGTTGTGACGGTCTTAATAAAGAAGTTATATATTATAAATTAACTTAATTAAGAAAGTTTAAGTATAAGTTATAATTAAGAAAGGTAAGCACTTAGTCCCAATTTTGAGTTAAGAAGTGGACAGGATGTGACATTCGCTACGCTACATTCAGGAGTGACATGGGTTCATCCTTGATGGACGGACAGGATGTAGCATTTGCTACACTTCCTGAATAATACTGTCAAACTAGAACAATACTACTTTGAGAAAAGGAAGGTTTGGCAGTTATTGCTATCTATCACTCAAACAGTAGGGAGTCTGAACACCCAAGCTACCAAGAGGAATTTATCACCAAGCTGCCAAAGGGACAGTTAAGTAATTAAGAACTAGAGTAATTTTTATTGGTAGATGCAAATTTCTGGAGAACTCCCAGAATCTGAGCTGGGCCAATAGGGCACGTTTCAGGGAGGAGCTTCCTTTTGGGAATTTGGACTCAAGAGAGTTTGCTACCTCGGGAGAGCCCATTCCCCAGAAGAGTCGTCCCGAGATTCTGAGTGATACGGACGCGAAACGGTGTCTCAGCGGCACCAATTTCCTAAAACATTGTCAAGGTCACAAGCATAATAAAGAAATAATTAAAAGTAGTGGGGTAGCTGAAGTGTTCGTGAAATTTGTGAACACCGTCTTCTCCCCATCCTACCAGAGCGAGGTCCGATACGCCCTAAGACAGAGTCCATCTCTCCCTGAGAAAGCTGGAATGACTAAATACTCACCTGCCTGGTTATCCTTCCAGGCATAAGCTACTCAAGTATGCTTACTGGCATCCAGATTTCACTCTGTGCCTTCGCAAATTAACCTACCCGTTCCACAACTAACTTGCGGAAGGTGGCCAGAGTGTTAACAAGAAGAGATCTAGAGGTAGCCACGCAGTGGTGGAGGTAGCAGCAGTGAGAGATGAGGATCATCGCAACAAAGGTGGCCCTAATTACATTAAGTAGCCGATAATACTTGGCCAAAACAACTAGAGACCATCAGAGGAGGGACAGTTATAGATCTATGTTGTTGCAGAGGAGTATGATGCACTGCTAGGATGAATCTGGATATGCCATCTCGGCATTAGCCTTCAAGAAATTCATTCTGAACACTTAGGAAATTCAAGAGCATCAGGAGTGAATAAGGTAGACTGCATCAACGATATAATCTCCAGATATCCAGAAATTTTTTGAAGAGATGGTTTTATTTCAGAAGTCAAAGTGTCATTAGCTAAACGAGTCTTCTACAATGAGCAAGAAGAAGTGCCATATGCCCTCCGTGATAAAGTCAATACAGGATTGGATATGCTCAAGTCTCAGGGAATTATTTCAAAAGTTGTTACGAGCAATTGGGGATCATCATTCATTGTGATACCAAAGCCAGATGGAAACATTCGATTATGTGTTGACTATAAAATTGGTGTCAATGAGAGGCTAGTCAATGCAAATTATCCAGTTTTTATGTAGTAAAAAACTTACAGGTCACATTGGACGGAGTGATTTATAATTTGCAAATTATCCAATTCGACAGATTGATGATATCCTTAACACTTGGCGGACCGCACACCCTTTAAAAGGTTTTTCGCTTTTAAACATGGCAGACCGTTCACGTGTTAACAGGTTTTTAGAACACGATAAGTTGCAACACACTATACATCGCTCTGGCGCCACCTACATTGCACGCAACCGCCTGCAGATGCGTGATAAGACTCTGGAATGTTTAGTTAGCAGTCAGTAACTTGACCTCTCTGTTTACTTAACTGACTATAAAGGGAAATGCTTTGCCTTCTTCAAGCTGTGTGTATCAGCCAGTAGCTAGTGGGGAGAATGGATCAAGGACAAATTCACCTACGATGACCTAGCTGACCTGCCTTGTGAGATGCGTAGTAATGGATTGTCATTCAGACAGTGACAGTGATGGAGGACAACAAAGAATTGTGGCCACAGACAGTAAAAGTGACAGTAGCTCTAACGATAATGTGGGTAATAACATTGCGCGTAGTAACATTGCGGGGACAGAAAAAAATCTAAAAAAATCTAAACCCTGATTCAAAATTGAAATACAAAGTATTTCTGATGAATGTGGCAAAGGCCTGGGCTACAGTCCAGATGGTGGCGGCAGAACCAGGGTCACACAAAGACTTAGTACGACCGGGCCCATCAACTCCCACTCCACGAAGGCCTCATGTGGACCCCCCAGGGCGACTCTTGCGTGATATGCGGAAAAATACCCTCATGAAAATTGTGAAGAGTGAACATTCCAAGGGGAAGAATACTTTTAGGCAATGCCGTGTTTGCACAGTTCAGAAAAAAAGGAGTATGTCTACATTTGCAAGTTCTGTGTAATGCCACTTCACAAAGGGGAAAGTTTCCAAAAATATCATACCCTCAAGCACTTCTAGGAGCATTGGTAAGTGTTCTCCAAAAATTTTAGTTCAAAAAATTAATTAGGAGATTTTATATTAATTTTTAAAGTGAACAGTGCACAAGTTAGGGTAGTATGTTTAAAAATGCCGGTCCCCAGGGTGATTTAAATATTTAAATCACCGGTCCGCGAAGTGTTAATAGTCTCAGAAACTCAAAATACTCCTGTCACCTAGAGTTATATAATTTTTTTTTTTAAATCCGCTTAGTGGCGGGGGGAATCCAACTGGGTCCACTTGGCACAGCGGCCACTAATTGGC